TATTAAGACAGACAGAAAATTAAAAGTTGATATTTTCTAGGCTCATTCATTCATTCATTCATTCATTCGTTCATTCATTCATTTGTACATTCATTCATTCGTTTGTTCATTTATTCATTCATTCATTCATTCGTTTATTCATTCGTTTGTTCGTTCGTTCATTCATTCATTTGTTTGTTCATTCATTCATTCAATCATTCGTCCATTCATTAATTCATTGATTCGTTCATTCATTCATCCATTCATTCATTTATTTGTTCGTTCGTTCGTTCATTTGTTCATTCATTCATTCATTCATTCATTCGTATATTTATTCATTCATTTATTCATTCATTCATCCGTTCGTTCATTCATTCATTCATTCATTCATTTGTTCCTTCATTCATTCATTTATTCATTCATTCATTCATTTGTTCGTTCATTCATTCATTCATTCATTTTCTTTTTGGCTTAATGCCTTTATTAATCAGGGGTTGCCACAGCGGAATGAACCACCAACATATCCAGCAAATGTTTTACAGAGTGGATATACATCCAGCCACAACCCAACACTGGAAAACACCCATACACTCTTGCATTTACACTCATACACTACGGCCAATTTAGCTTACCCAAGTTCCCTATAGCGCATGTCTTTATACTGTGGGGGAAACCGGACCACCTGGAAACCCACGCCAACATGGGGAGAACATTCAAACTTCACATAGAAATGACAACTGACCCAGCCGGGACTTAAACCAGTGACCATCTTGCTGTGAGGCAATCGTGCTACCCTCTACGCCACAAGTATACTTTAATTTTGGCATAGTAATTAAGACACTTTACTATTTAGACTATTTCAAACACGTTTATTATTACACAGACTCCAATGCAAATGTGATAGAGTGAGCCAACCAGCATCACACCACACTCTGAGATGTTTTCGCTGTTTTGTAAAGAACTTTGAACATGATCTTACTCATCATACGAGCGACACAACAATAAACACCGTCAGTATGAAGTACAGTGAATATGCGAGGGCCTGCGGGCTACAGCAGATTATTTTCATTGGCTTTTGTTGATCGGTGCTTCTGATACTGTTATTAGCGCTGTGAAGTCTCAGGATGTTTACGAGCGCTGCTCCTGTGAGACTCTATGTGGCAGCACGTCAAGAAGACAACAAGCTATAATTTTCCAGGATTGATGTCTGTATGCGCAGGAGAATATAAAAGAAAACATCCTCATAAACATGATTGCCCAACAGATTGTGTTCCGGCACGGCGAACAATGAGCACAAAGAGGACGTCTAGAACGCGTGTCTGCGCCGCATTATTTTTATCCTCAGAATAAAAGTACGACTGGAGAATCACTGAGGATCATGTTAAGCTCCTCGAGGCACTGAGATGGGTCACTGCACCTGCCGGTGGTCGGTTTATTGCTTATTTTTGATATTGTATCACTGGCGGCATGGTGGCTCAGTGGTTAGCACTGTGGCCTCACTGCAAGAAGGTTGCTGGTTCAAGTCCCATGGGTCAGTTGGTGTTTCTATGTGGAGTTTGCATGTTCTCCCAGTGTTGGCATGGGTTTCCTCCGGGTGCTCCGGTGTCCCCCACAGTCCAAACACATGTGTCCTCTTCTGAACTCTGATATCTCCCTCATAATGTTGTGTGCAGTGCAGAACTGTGCAGTTCCTTTGCTGATGATACCTTCACACTCTGCTCTTACTGCTGGAGTGAAGATCAATGAGAATTGAACACCAGCTGCCCACATGCAGACATCACGCCTACAACACTACACTGGCCAGAGCCTCAGTTTCATTGCCAACCCCAGTGCATACAGCAGCGTACAGACTCATGTCGCTGAAATATTGGGTTCTCTAGTACGCATGTGTGGATTGAGCAGAGCTGAGATTGCTGTTCTCTGCAGGCGTGTGATTCTGATCGTGTGTCCGGCTGGAGTCCGGATCTCTCTGAGCGACTGCAGATCCTCCAGACAGAAGCATCTGGTCATCAGGAGGAGCTGCAGAAGTCCCACAGCGAGCTGCAGAGAGTGACGGATCTGCTGCGGGACCTGCAGTCTGAGCGCCTGCAGCAGGACAACAGGATCATCCAGATGGAGAGGTGCACCACTACTACACCAACAAACCAAAAACTACATCTAGTATATGAATGAGTGATTGAATAAATGTATGTATATATGTGTGTGTGTGTGTGTGTGTGTGTGTGTGTGTGTGTGTGTGTGTGTGTGTGTGTGTGTGTGTGTGTGCGTGCATGTGGGTATGTATGTATGTATGTACTGTATGTATGTGAATACATGTATGAATGTATGCATGAAAGTATATATGTATAAACAAATTAATGTATATATGAATGTATGAATGGATGCATGTATGTATGTTTGAATGAATGAATGTATGAATGGATGTATTAATGTAAGAATAAATGTATGAATATATGAATGAATGTATAAATGAATGTATGTATGAATACATTTATAATTGCATGAATGTATGTACGTATGTATGTATGTATGTATGTATGAATGAATGAATGAATTTCTGACTGAATGTATGAATGAATGTATAATTGTATAAATAAATGAATGAATGTGTGAATGGATGAATGAATGAATGTGTGAATGGATGAATGAATGAATGAATGAATGAATTTATGAATGTATAAATGGATGCATGTATGAAGGAATGTATGTATGTATGTATGTATGTATGTATGTATGTATGCGTGTGTGTATGTATGTATGTATGTATGTATGTATGCGTGTGTGTATGTATGTATGTATGTATGTATGTATGTATGTATGTATGTATGTATGTATGTATGTATGTATGTATGTATGTATGAATGAATGAATGAATGAATGAATGAATGTATGAATGTATGTATGTATGTATGTATGAATGTATGTATGTATGAATAAATTTATAATTGTGTGAATGAATGAATTTATGTATGAATTAATGAATTTCTGCATGAATGTATGAATGAATGCATGTATCAATATTTGAATAAATTTGTATAAATAAATGAATGAATGCATGTATGAATTAACATGTGAATGGTTAAGTGAATGTATGAATGAATGTATAATTGTATGAATGACGTTATAAATGAATGAATGAATAAATAAATGTATAAATGAATGCATGTTTGAATGAATGTTTGATCGCATGTACAAATGTATGAATGAATGCGTCTATAAAAGAAGGTATGAATGCATGTACGAATTTATGAATGCATAACTGAATGTATGTTTGAATGAATGAATGAATGAATGTATGTAGGAATGTAAGAATAAATGTATGAGTATATGAATGTATGTATGAATGAATGTATGAATGATTGAATGTATGTATGAATGTATGTATCAATATTTGAATGAATGTATAATTGTATGAATAAATGAATGTATAAATGAATGAATGCATGTATGAATTAATATGTAAATGGTTAAATGTATGTTTGAATTAATGTATATATGAATGTATGAATGAACGTTTGAATGAACAAACAAATGTACACCTTTATGAATGAATGAATGAATGGATGAATGAATGAATGAATGAATGAATGAATGTATCTAAACAGTGATGAAATGTAATACAGAAGAGTCAGTGAAATAAACTGTGTTCCAGACAACTGAAGGAGCAGAGCCAGAAGCAGTCTGTGAGTCCAGGCCAAGCAGGAGAAACCAGCCCTAACACTCAGAGACAGGTGAGACCATCTCAGAGACCATCGGGTTCCAGCTTTCAATAGTCAGAACAGACTATTTTGATGGTCCCCTTTAGACTTATACACAGTGAAAATATCCTCTCAAAATGTATTTAGTTAAATGTTTAACAGAGATTTACACATTTTTTATAATAGTTTTAAAAACAAATTTATAATGAATATTTTCTTTAGTCTCCGATATAATATTAAAAACAAAAGTATATTATAAATAATTTTAGTATTTAATATAATACATATAATAAATATATAAAGCTATAATATTTTACTAAGTATTTTTTGCAAGATACTAGCATTAAGTTGCATTGAAACCTAAGTTAAGATGGTCCTATTTTCCGCTATTGTGATGTATATCCACTTGAAAAAAAAGTAAGGCACCCTAAATGACTGGTAGCACCTCCCTAAATCAAAACTGAATAGGAGGATGAATAATTCTGACTTCAGCTGTACTTGTGACGAACACAGAAGGAGACGCTGCATGAAAATTAACGTCGTGTCTTCTGTCTGATTTTGCTCTCTCAGCTGGACGATCTGCTGTCGGCTTTAGACAAAACCCGGAAAGAGCTGGATGTGGTGCGTCAGCGTCTGTCGGTGTCTCAGAGCTCTCTGTCAGAGCGGGATAATGAGCTGAGCCGGATACGAGCCGAGCACAGCAAACAGCTCTCCGAGATCCTGCAGCTCAAGTCAGTGATGTTCATGAATGTGATGATTTTTGCTGACACATCTGATTCTGACACGTTTTGGGAAAATGCTTTGAAATTTTTCACAAACTCAACAATACACTGTTACTGTAAACTTGATTGTCCCCTTTTAGGGCGATTTGTTCTGCAGCGTACTAGATTTACATCACATATATCACATCACACACTTGAGACAAACATTACAGAACACTACTAAAAAGAGTGTCTATCTATTCCCATTAAAATTCATCAAATCAGTAGCACAAGGAACAAATGGAAATTTTAATTTACTGGTCATGCCAAAGGGATGGGGTTTTAAAAATGAATCAAAAAGAGGATGGGCTATGTCATATGTAATCTGTTCAACATCATCTGGAAAATATTTTTAAAAAGAAGAAAATTTTTTTAAGGGGGTGAATAATTCTGACTTCAACTAATTATATATATATATATATATATATATATATATATCAAATTATATATATATATATATATATATATATATATATATATATATATATATATATATATATATATACAAAAAAATATATATATATATATAAATATATATATTAAAATATAAAAAAAAATAAAT